TGACCTCACAAGAGTCCCTTAACCCTCTGCAACCATAGACAATTAAATTATTTCTTCCTTAATTGTTGATAATGGCATTTTATTACACCAACAGAAAATTAGTTAATATACCTCTTTATGTGCACATTATAAATATGTCTCTGGGCTATTCCATAAGATGCTTTGCATCTTTTCCTTTTTCATAAAATTTCCCTTTTCACTAGAAGGCACTAATTGACCAGCCATTTATGGACAGCGTACATTTGTAAACACCTTATTCAAATGAATCTATGATGCTTTCTGCCTTCTAAGGCAAGATTTACGTACCACAGTTCTAATAATTCACTTTTGCTTTTAACACTATACATGATATATATATGCACATATATCTACTATGTAGTATATATAATATATATTTATTAGATACATAGACATTATATATTCTTTACGGTTTTTAACTGGAGTAAAATTATAACACTTTTCTTCCTCTTTAACCTGTTCATCTCATCCTAGACACCCCTCCCTTTTATGCCTCCTCAGCCAACTCCCCAACTCTCAAGGATAGCTTCTTTTTCAATGTTTATTATTGTTACACACATGTATCTATTTTTTCGGTTGTATTTATGTATTTAGGAATGTGTATATATGTCTGTGTATATGTGTGTGTGCAAATATATGTCAATTATTAATGAAAAATGAGGCTATGAATGTGAAAGAAAGCAAAAAGGGGTATGCAAGAGAGTGTAGCTGGTGGAAAGAAAAGGGGAAATGATGTTATTATATTATAATGTCAAATACATAAGGTAATAAGAAGGAATTAGTCACATCAATAGAGCTTTAAAACTGCCATTTGCCTACTTTTATACTCTTTAATATGGAATGTACACATAACTAATATTTCACTACATTTTATATACATTTTAAATGCAAGTAATGCATTCTTATGGGAAAATATTTTTGAGAATTTACAAGTAAATGGATTTGTTTAGATATTTCAATTCAAATGTAATTACAATTCAATTTACTTTTCTCCCATTTTTCATTTCAAAATACTCATTGGGATACATTTTCCACTTTCCTCTGGATGAAATTCCATTGTGTCTGCTTTCTCTGCTTTGGTATCAGAGAGGGAAGAAACATTTTGCGATGGAGAATAAATCCATACCTCAGTGTGTCCACTTTAAAATTTTCATTAAAGAAGTAGAAGAGGAGGAGGAGGAGGAGGAGGAGGAGGAGGAGGAGGAGGAGGAGGAGGAGGAGGAAGATTTCTATCTTGCCAATTGTAGGGTGCATCCTGGAATTTGGTTAAGAGCTGGAATTGCTTCCTTTATCCTCTCTATCACCTAGCTTCTTTGACTTAATTTTTGAAACACAAAAGAAAGAATAATTCAGAGAACTGAAAAGCTCTTCCGTGAATGACATGTTTCATATTCCAGAGCTTACTCTGTACTATGTCATGACTAAGTTTGGAGCAGAGAATTCTAAGAGCATACTTTTTTTGGTTCTTTCTCAGACTCCCTGCTGAAATACCTCATTTGTAACTATCTAAAGGCTGCTGCTGGTTTCAGTAGTTCAATCCATACAGAAACTCTCCACTGAACTTTAAAAAAATGACCCTCAGGCTGACAATTGCTTTGAACAGTTGCATGCTGACACTGGCTTTGGAATTTCATATCAACTGTCAGAGATCTACAGCAGAAACTTGCAATTAAACAATAAATTATACATAAGAAAGACACTGAAAATGATCTCCCAGTGCCAAATGGCCTCTGCAGACATAGAAACTATTAAAAAATAGAACATAGTTTTAAAATATTTTAGACATATGAAAACATGTATAAACACACATTTACATTATCACTTTAACTGTGTCAGTGTATCTATAGATATACAGTTAAATATATATATATATATATATATATATATATATATATATAAAACTTTTATATTGAATGACTAACTTAGAATTTGTAGGCATTTTCCCAACATGATTAATTTCTATCAAATAGTATGGTACTTACTATAACTTTAATGTATTACTTCTCTAACATTTTAATAGAAAAACATTTTAGTAATGCCATCTGTTACTTGAACAGCCTTCAGTGACCTGCTTACCTAGAAGGTACCAAAGGACTTAGATCCTAAAAATTTATCTTTCAATGTTTTGTTTTTTCTTCTATACTCCATTGCCATCGTTTTGGTCTACTATAACATATTTCAAGGAGGAAAACTCCCCCAGCATTACAAATGTAGCCTTGGAAACTATTGCACAATCATCACATAGCTTTTTATACCCATCATCTTGTATCCTGAGGTCCAGTTATTGTCTGTGTCTAAAGTCCACATTCTCTTCCCCTCATGTCTTTCAAGACCACGTATAGCTGATGGTCTAGTTCAACAAGAGAGTCTTAATGTCCACCCTTTTATCACTACCTAGAATATTTTTGTGGAAATTTACAATATTCTTCCTTCAAGTTATATAATCACTTCTTAGATACTCTCAAATATTGAAAGTTAGTGTTTTTCATCTGAACTTTCATCAGTATATTTTTGAAAAATATTTACATTGAGTAATTTTGAAAATATTGAAACCATTTGAAACTACTCTGTGTTTCCACTGATTAATTTTTGTCCATGGTCAAATGAAATGTGATGAAATATGCAAACTTCCCTAAATTATGTATCTATTCAGGCATATGTCCAAGCTACTGTACTTCCCATGTGTCCAGATGTTGTTATGTGCTAAGACAGCAGACAGTCCTGCATCTATAAAGGTTTTCTTTCAACACTACTTCAGTTCATTATGAAGGGGATTAAATATTGATTAGCTCATTGTCAACCTTACAGAGTCTAACACCATCTAGAACAAGGCAGCCTCAATTAAGCAAGTGCCTCTATCAGATTGGATTGTTGGCAAGTATGTGGGACATTTTCCTACTTTATAGTTGATATGGGGAAGCCCATCCCACAGTGAGTATTGCCACCCCTGGGCATATATGTAATCCTGGGTGGTATAAGAAAACAGGCCGAGTAGGCTATGAGGAATTAGCCAGTAAATAGCATTCCTCTATGGTCTCTCCTTCAATTTCTGCCTTGTGGTTCTTTCCTTGATTTCCTGCCCTGACTTCATTTCCTGATGGACTATAAGTTGTAAGTTAAAAATTACCCTCTCCTTCCTCAGGTGTTTTTGATCACAATCTTTATCACAGTGATAGAAATTAAACTAAAATGGTGGGCAAAATTATGAGAACTAAGATAATTTAAAGAAAAGATAACAAAAGATGGATTGTAAACTGTAGTTGCCCTGAAGCCTAAAGAAACATGATGCTACTGTTGCCTAGTTTTTAAAGAATGTATCTCTAGTGTAAAAGTCTTGCCTTTTTTACTAATTGATGCATAATTTCTGACGTTAGAATTCTTTTGTCCAGAAATTGGGAGATGGATATGTGTGTTAGACTGTTTGTATATAAACATGAAGACCTGAACTCAAATATCCAGCACACATATAAAAGATACAAGTTTGTAATTGGTGAAGCTTGTTTGCCACCAGCCTAGCTAAGGGTTCATTGAGAGACCAAGTATCAAGTGAAAAGACAGAAACTGATAGAGCGGGACAACAAAATCCTCCTGTGGCCTCTTTATCTGTAGATGTGTGTGTGTACTTCTCCACACAGGTGTGCAGCATAGCACACACACACACACACACGCACATACACACACACATAAACACACACACACACACACACACACACACACACACACACACACACACACACACACAAACACATACCACAAACAAAACACAGATTCCTTATTAAACAAAACCTTTTTCTTTTATGTGTTGACTACCTAACAAGGGATTTTCCAATCTTATGCAGTGTTTTTTTTTTTTTTTTTTTTTTTTTGAGTTTGAGGAAGTTAAAAATAACTTTTGCAGTGTTTACTTCTTAAAACTTAAGTCATTTATTATACCCACCTAAAATATCTGAAATGAAACTGAAATGAAGTAGTATCTATCACATTCAACTGGTCTAGGTAGTTGGTGAAGTTTCCATCATCTAAACTCCCCTTCCCACTTCTACCATTAAAGACCCAACTTTCTATATACAGTGCAAAAACTTTAGGTGGGGAGGAGTCTAAAGATGACTTGATGGAAGACATTTTCATAATTTCTAAATTTGAAGAACTCCTTTAATTTTCATTTGTTTATTTTCTTGTCAGTTTTTTTTTGAATAATCAAAAAGCTTTCACTAAAAATGACCATTTTTTATATGTTGGTTTAAATATGGTATATGATTGATGGTCCAATTGCTAGTAAGCAAAGAGGGGTGAAAAAGCCAGATGTTGGCCATATTTCAGCCTTCACTATATCACTTCCACTTTTACAGTAATGGACAGCTCAAATGGATTTAGATTAAAACTTCAATTCAAATGGCTGGAGACTTAGTACAAAACTCCTATTCTTAGCTGGAAAATCAAGTCAAGCAATACTTGAAGCAAAAACTGGAATTGAATTAAGAAACAGTAGGGGCAGAACATCAGTTGCAGAGCATCAATTCCCTGCTTGGAAGAACAGTCACAAATAATTGCCAGCTGATTGCTACAAGAAAAAAAACATTGTGGGGTCAGAATTTCCAGCTCTTATGTTTGTCATAATGTGGAAAGGCATAGAAATTAGTATACATATTAAAGTGAGTTCTTTCAGATTTTAAAAGCTTGTTAAAGATTAAAGAATTTATAATATTGAAGAAAAATAGAAAGTGGAAAGTATATTTTATAGTTTTTGTATTAATATGAAAAAAATTTATAAGAACTAAATGATATGTGTATACCCCAATCACTACACAGTTTTAGTGAAGTAGAAGATTACTAAATTGAGGCTATTTTAATATTTTAGTAATTTTGTAAATTTTATAATTAATAACTAATAAATTCTTTGTAGATAATTCCTTTAAAATTGTAATTTTTACTGTAAACGAGGGAGAGTATCTTTTGGTTTGATTTTCTTTTTTTTTTTTCAGATGGAAAAATAGTGACTTCGGATGTCTATTGAGGTGGGGACACAAAACAGTATTCTTGGATTCATGGATACAGGTATCAGAGCGATGCTGCTTTTTCTAAAGTGTAAAGAGCCTAGAAAGCATCACTGTGTCACCACTTGTAAAAGGAAAAGATGAATACAGTGTGTAGCTGAAGTTTTCCTGGTTGTGCCCTGCAGCCACTTATAAAATAATCACCCAGAAGCTTATATGAATTAAAACTGCTTGGCCATTAGCTCAAGTTAACTATTGACTAGCTCTTACACTTAAATTAACCCATAATTCTTATTTGTGTTTAGCCACGTAGCTTGGTACCTTTTCTCAGTTCTGTCTTCACATCTTGCTTCCTCTGTGTCTGGCTGGTGACCCTGACTTTTCCCACAATTCTCTTCTCTGCTTGTCCTGCCTACACTTCCTGCCTGGCTACTGGCCAATCAGCACTTTATTTATTAACAAGTCAAAGCAACACATTCACAGCACACAGAGTGATATCCACAGCAACAATGACCAACTTTTCATAGAGCTTTCAGAGCAGTAAGGTGGACCAAAAACAAGTCTGAAGGCAAAGATGAAGTGCAGCCTTTACTTGCTGAATTCTGTCTTATTGTAATATAAACCACTGGAGCTCAAAACTGGAGTTGCTGCTTCAGTGGTGACTAGGCTGAGTTTCCACAGGCCAAGTATGCATGAGAGTGAAAAACTTTGGGGACCTCAAACTTAAGTGGTGCATTGCTAGTCAATCTTTTGCCTTTTGCCGTAAGGTTACTAAAATATTCTTTTTTTTTTTTTTGGTTTTTCGAGACAGGGTTTCTCTGTGTAGCTTTGCGCCTTTCCTGGAACTCGCTTTGGAGACCAGGCTGGCCTCGAACTCACAGAGATCCGCCTGGCTCTGCCTCCCAAGTGCTGGGATTAAAGGCGTGCGCCACCACCGCCCGGCAACTAAAATATTCTTATGATGACCTAAGCAAGGTTGAATGAATTCTCCAATGGGTATATTACTGTTGTTGGAATAGACCCATTGGAATGTAAAATTTTTAAAACAAAACATCGTCTACAGGAAAATTATTTTAAAAATGAAAAATGATCTCAAAACTTAATGTTAATCTACATTAATCAATGCAGCCATAGGACTTGTGAATAAATAGACATGAAGTATGAGAAAGAGGACAGAGTGCAGTAGAAGATCATTACAATATATTTGGCTGACCACTCGCATTAGGAGGAATATGATCTTGGGTGAATATAATATACATACATCATTGCCCACTTCCCTTTACCTCCTCCAAACCCTCCTACGTTCCCTTTCATGTTTTTTTTTTTTAATTTATACCCTCTTTTTTCACTATTTGTTTGTGTGTGTGTGTGTGTACATGTGTATGTATACATATATAATGACATTTAAAAGAAAAAAATAGTCTTTTCAACATCCAAAGGTGTGACAAACAAACAGGAAAGTATATAAGACACAAAACATTTTAACTAGTTTAACTACTTAAATGGATCATAAACAAAAATGTGAAAGAGAAATGATAAAATTTATAGAGAAAGACTATGTGAAAACGTATTTAATAGGGTTTCTGCATAGGCTATAGAAACAAGACATAAAGAATGATTCATAAGAGTAACCATTTGTAGGTATTTATCTATTGCAATGAAGTCTTGTATTGTGTGAGGATCAGAATTCTATTTTACGTTAGTAAAAATGAAATCTGGGAGAATGTATTTGCAAACGTATTATATTTGATATTTTTATCTAACAAATAAAAAAAAACCTCAAAAGTTTTAAAGTTCAACAATATGAAAGCAATTGACTGAATTAAAAATGGATGTATTTTCTTAACATATATTTTAATAGACAAGATGAAGGGATGACAAATAAGAATTTTAAATGGTCAGTTACATAATTTTTTCTCAGAAATTAATGAAAAAAGGAAGAGATGCTTCTATGCACAGATGAGAAAGTTGAGCATCAAAAGCCTGGAATTATCAACTCCAATGAGGATAAAGAACAGTAGACAATTTTATTACTTACTAGAAGCTATGTAAAATGTTGCATCCCCTTGAAAGGATAGTTTATTTTTCCAAAAATATTAACATAGCTGTGCATAGGACTGCACAATTAGACTTGAAGACATCAGTAAAAAATCATATGAGCTCAAGCTTAATGTAGATATAGATTATTACATATAAAATGTGTTAAGATGTGTGCATAATTAATAAATAATACATACAAGTAGAATTACTTACTCTGTCCACTGAGAGGCTCTATAATTCTGGAGCAGCTCATATAATTGCTGATTTGTCAAGCCACACTTTTAATTACATCACCTGGGATGCAGAGACAGGTGGATTCCTATGAATTTGAAGGCAGCCTGGTCTGTATTCAAGTCCAGCCCAAGCAGAGCAACATAGTGAGATCCTGTATTCCCTTTCTCCATCTTAAAAAACAGAAATATTATTTCAACAACATTCTTTCTATCAAAAAGGGACTTTCTTCAGTTGATTCTAAAGCTGCACCAGAATAAACAAGATTACGTTTTGATATCTTTGTAAACTTTAATGCTCAAAAATAATGGGATGTCACAGCAATGAAATTGTACAAAACATAGATGGGTGATATGAAAATAGAGATAAACTTGCCTTCAGCTTTGTCTTTCTATGGATGAAACATTTTGATAACCCACTTCCTTCTGCTCAATCTCGCCTCATGGAATCCTTCAGATCCCAAATACCTCTTGATTGTGTTGAAGGAAATGTCTAAAACATATCACCAATGCATTCACCTCAATGAGAACTCCTCCCTCATCACTGAATATTGGATATTACTGGAAGAGCTGCATTGTTCACTGATCATTGATCCATTTATGTTGCGAAACACACAACTAGACAGGTGAGTTTACAGCTTATTTGCCTTTCATATTTTCAGTGGATTCTATTAATATTTCCACACCTGCTCAATAATGTATTTGGAGAAAATACAGCCTTTTTTTCATTAGATTTTCTTCTGCTTCGTTGCTTTTGTGGAGAGGGCAGATGACTACATACAATGCTTTCTCATAGTTGTCAGGTAACCCCAGGAAAGGGTTTACCAGCTCAGGATTACATTAGCAGTGAAGATTAACACATCACCCTGAATCATTATTTGCCTTACTCACCAGTTTAAACTATCTCCTTACTAGTTTTGTGTCACTAACCCCATGAGGGGTATCCCAACTGTACTATCATGCCAATCAGAAACAGGCTTAGAGTTTCTTCAGCTAGTCTGGAAGGTGCTTCATTATTTTGTTCGAGTCCATCCTTTGCTCTACAACATGGTGCAGTTTGAATCAGATATATTCTCAATGGAAAATATATGACAATTTCCTCATTCTCCTGTCAAAAGGATCATGGGACAGTATAAAAGTGACTTTCTAAAACTCACTCTCTCTCTGGAATGGAAAGATTATGTTCACTTGTATGTATTAACTTTTTTTTTTGTTTGAAACCAGGCAAATTCATATTTCAGCCCATTTATCATTATACATCTGTAGATAGGTTAGTCCCAGGTACCTCCAGCTATCTCACTACTGGAGATGAAGTGGCAATGAAATGACCGCAGGGCAAAAGCTAGTTCCAAAAGCTTTGTCCTTGACATCCTTCACAGCAGGAACATTCTAGGATGCATGCATTTTGCAAGCTCTCTCCCTGGTCTACTGAGTCTATGGCCATGTTAGTTTATTAGCCACTTCCTGGAAGCCATTTCCTGTGTCTTTAAGGGAGTATTTTGCTCTCTGGATTGCAAAAGGTTTGTGTCTCCCAAGATTTGCTAAAATCTAATCTTAAGTATTTTGGAAGAAACTAAATCCTATGTTCCTTATTCTTAACTTTAATTTCTTCTTCTTCTTCTTCTTCTTCTTCTTCTTCTTCTTCTTCTTCTTCTTCTTCTTCTTCTTCTTCTTCTTCTTTTGGTTTTTTGAGACAGGGTTTCTCTGTGTAGCTTTGCGCCTTTCCTGGAACTCACTCTATAGCCCAGGCTAGCCCCAAAATAACAGAGATCTGCCTGCCTCTGCCTCCCAAGTGCTGGAATTAAAGGCGTGCACCACCACCACACGGCTTATTTTCTTATTTTATTTAGAAGTAATAATGAAATAATATTCTAGAGAAATTAAAATTCTATTCCATTATTAGATAGTGTTAAAAAACAGCAAATACAGAGATGAAAACTATTTATGAAGTAGATAAATGAACCCATTGATAGAGTTCTCAGTATTCAAAGCCAAAGAACTTGATCAATAAAATGGAATCATATGAAATTATAATTCAAAATTTGAAGAAAAAATTTCAAAAATTTATACATAAATAAGTGATTGAAAAGATAAATGGAATATAATGAAATTCATTATATACAGAAGAATTCTAAATAATTTACATAGATGTCCTATGCTCAATCATGTTGAACAAACCTCATTACTCTTAAATATGGGCTGTATCTAGTGACTTCCTTCCAATAGAAGGATGGTATTGTAAAAGAATAATGTATCTATACAATGGGGAAACCTAATAACAACATGAAACTTGTTAGAAGATTGATGTTTAGAGCAACAGGCAAGAGTCATAAAGTACTAAATACCATTGATGTGATACAAATGGCAATTCTATCTGCAATGCTCCTCCTCAAAACATATATCATTAAATCACTAAACATTCATTCAACATTAAACATTCAACAGCAGAATTGCAAGAAAGATAATTGCTCAAGATTCCTTGGAACATTTAAATTCACAAAAAAAGCAAGTAACAGTTTGAAGAAATGTCATGGTTAAGAGTTTTCTAGGGAGATAAGTTGATTATGGAATGTGATATCATAGAAAGGATCTTGAAAACAAAAGGGACATTAGGTAGAAATTACAAAAATTTGGATACATTATGGGCAATCATGCATTGACATTTATTAATAATAGAGACTGGGATATCTAGGTGAATGTATATCACTTAAAATTTTCTATAAGACAAAAACTATTCTAAAATAAATATATATCTGAAAAAGTAGAATCCAATTTGATAGAATGATCACTT